TGCGGCCCTCCACGAAAGCTGTAGAAAAGTGTTTGGCAAAATGATTGGCAATTTCACGACGGTCAGATGTGGACTCATCATCTTTTATCATCAAAGGAGGGAATTCGAAAGTAAGGTGCGATACGGCTATAGGGAAAAGCCACTAACCATCAAATTTCTAGAATTTTTAAAATGCAAAGAAGAGCATTAGGCTAATGTTTTCGCTACAACGAACGGAGCCTTATTTTGAAAAAGATTCATATTGGAAATGTATTATATTTATTACAATGTTTAGGTTTATTATTCAAAACCCAAAAGTTATTATCATTATATTCCGATAACTATCTCATACAATACGAGAATTTTGTATAATAAGATCAAAAAGTAAAGTGCATAACTCATCATACCCGCAGATCGGTGTGGGATTTTATCTTTCCGGCTTATATGAAGTGCATTACAATGTAGGTCCCACTTAAAACACAAAAAAAACAAATGGTACTATACTCACTGGACGATTTCTTTGAGAATACAAGAAATTACCGGTCATGTCTTTTTAAAAATACATACACAAGGTGTTCCTAAATATTATGTACTTACAATCCTTTGATTTATTTATGACTAAACGCTCATATAAACATAGCTGCGCAAAACCTTTTATAAGCATATACAAACACAAGACACCTACAATTCAAATTCGAACTGCCAAAGCTAATAAAACAAAAATAATCTAAATATGGTTTAGGTCTATTGGACCATTTTCAATTAACCAATGTGGAAAGCCTTTCAGCGTAACTTATAATCCAAATGTGAGTGAAATGCCTCAAAAACTGCAGGAGATATAAACAAAAAACTTAAAAAAATCGTGAAATTGTAACACCCTTTGATATAAATCACCCTGTATAACAATTGCAATTTCCTTGAAAATATTTTTAGGTTGTAGCCTCAAGGGTCCTTCAAGATTCCCCGACAATGAATTTTAAATATGGGCGTAAATAAACCCCCAACCTTTCACCCACACACTAATGGCCCACCCTGTAAAAGAAAAATTAAAGACTACTTATAGGGTAATTTTGGGAAAGTATACAGGGGAAGTTCGGAGGAAGTACTAGGGAGGTATAAGAAAATACTGGGAAGTACAAGGAAGTGCTGGGAAATAAGGGGAAGTATGAAGAAGTAAAGGGAAGTACAGGAAAGTATGGGGAAGTTAAGAGGAGGTACTTAAGGGTTACCCCCGAAGACGAAGTATTGTACAAATTTTTGATCTGGTCTTGACCTCGAATGAACAAGAAAAACTCTCTACACTATGAATGCTAGCGCCTGGTTAACCCGTGGCAAAGCTGAAGATGCTTGCCAAAGTAAATGGAAAGATGATGTACTAAAACAAGTAAAAAAAGATTAAATCGATATCGAGGAAAAAAGGTTATGCTACTTCATAGCATCATTTCGCGCAACGGATTCGGTGTTTGTAAAAACATCTTGATGAAATAGTGAACACTCTACAATTTAAAGTAATAAGAGGTAAGGGCATAGAAACAATCAATAGACAAAACTCAAAAATTTACATTTACAACACAAGTTTTTATAAAAGAAAATTATATAAACACTGCGGCCCCACTTCATGATGCCGTAACTAAGCTATGTGGTTCGCAAACGGTGTCATGGACAACGTCGTTGGAGCAAGCTCGTAAGAGAGCCGTTTCCAGAACTACGCTTCTGTTTCATCCAGTTCAAGACGCCCCTCTCGGACTGTGACGTTTATTCAAGACTCTTAAGTAAACCCAATATCAACCATAAAACATTACATGGCGATCCTGCCATTACAGGATTACCACCGACCATTGGCAACAATTCGAATCTACCCTCTTTAAAGTTCTGCACATGTGCTCTGTATTTGAGTGATGTATGATTGAACGCACCCACGAAATCAACCTGGGTACAAGCTCTTCCAGTGGTTCTTCTTGGAATCAAGGGTTGCGTCCATACGTCCTCCGCGGAACTGGTGTATACAAATCCCTACTCGCCAGTGACGTAACAGTTTTTACCGATAGCCTTCGAAAAATTGTCACGTATTCCCCAACATCAGACGATACGATTCGCGGCGCTGTGGAACCTCCATACACCGGCCCTCATCTCATGCTTAGCTCCTCAAAAAAAAAAAACGTTCACGCTGCGGATCGATTGATCGCCACAAGCCCGTCTAACTCGTTGCAGATGCCTCCTCTCCAACGCTTCTAAAGTAATAGATTTACTCATTCCCCATGGGGGTGATGCGTCGGTCATAAGAAAACAGATAGCGACCGCTCAGAAGGGACCATGGCAACGGAAAAACAAAAGGAAAAGTTTGGAATCAATTTCAAAAGTCACACAAATGAAGGACATTTTTCGATTGGCAGTCAGATGAAATTAATACGTTAACATTTCGACGACCTTAATGTGGCATTTTTTTGACCCACAAGACTATCATAATATATGAACGAATCGTATTTTCCGTTCTTGAAATGTTTATCGTACTGATCGTGCTATCGTAGTACACGGGATATCGATCATTATTTACACACCGCAATTTTTATTTGGTGTTTAATTATCAACAATTTGCATTTCTACTTGTTAATTATACATTGTTGCTGCCTTAAATACTCTTAATTACTTTTTATCGCAAAAATTATTCGCAGCTCAGGGACGATCATAGGGCGGTAGGAATAGTTATTTACCTAACAAGTTCGGTAAGTTAATTTTCCCGCATGAGCACTTTGTTTGCAGCACGACCGTAGGGAGTGCTGCATTTAGTGCGAATGCGGGAAAATTCTTTCCGAAAGAGTTAGGTACAATATTTTTTGTAACGAATTGCGTAAAAAAAGGTCAAAATTAATAAAGTTTTGTAAATTAGCTTTTTTTTAATCATGAGTTGGTAACACAATCATATGTTTGGTTGGTAACATAATTTTGTAACTACCCACTTTTAATAATGCACTGGTCACATTTAAAACTTCCACATCTTTGGTTAATACATATTTTGCCTTTGCAATGAGTGCTACTACTGGTCACGGCATTGCATCGTTTGCACTGAATATCTTGAGTTGCGTAAATACACTCGTTACATTTAAAATCCTTGGAAGCTTTGTGTGTGTTAATATGTGCTTTCTTAAACTGCATATGCGAATAGTTGCAGAATATCACTGGTCACATTTTAAGACGTTTTAACAATAAATTTTACTTTTTCTTGAGTTCCAATTCTGAAAAATAATTTGATTGCGTTATGAGTTCTTGTTTATATATTTACGTAAAACTTAGTGTACGTCTGTTTCCGATTAACCGCACTAAATACCCTCAACCAACGGTTTAATTGATTTTACAGCAGATGACAGTTAACCATGACATGACGTTCGTTGACTTCAATAAGTACTACCAACCGAAGAACGCGCATAACCCCTTCTCTCCAGCGGAAACTAAAAAACACCGCGATGCGGGAAAGTCGTTTTCCCGTGCATCGAGGATGCTTGGAAACATTATCTTTCCATGCAATGAGTACAAAATAGTTATTTTTATTATGAGTACATTTCAATGCACAAGTAATATACACTGTACAGTGATCATAAATAGTCACAAAGTTTGCGTTTCTCTTTAGATATTTGCTGAGCAACCACAACAAACACGTGAGAGATTGGAACTAACGGGCCTAGGGCCATTTCTGGTTTTGTAGAATTGTTTATAACTTTGCCTAGTTGTCTGAGAATCTGTTCGATAGTTAAATGTTCTTCAACTCATAAAGAGTGTATCTCATCACATCACTCATCTGTATTTATCTTCTTTTAGACAGTTAATGAGCTTTCAATTACATTTTCAATTTACATTTATGTCTCGGAAAACCATTTAACCTAATAAAGCGACTATTTGTTGTCATGAATCCTACACAAGATTCTGACAAGGTTCTACGATATTTGAGGAATTGTCTATTTAAGGAAGAACTAAAATCCGTAAATTATTCAGAACTGACTTGGCATATTGTAACAAGTATCTCGGCGCCATAAAGTCGAAAAAAGATTAATCACCGACGATAACGAATAGCGCATGCGTCTTTCCTTGATATATGACAGACCTCTTCGAGAACGTTCCGTCATTTTTTCTAGAAAAGTTCGCACGTAAATTGAAGCGTGGTGAACTGATAGTTCCAACATCAATTCCGAAGCGATTATTAGTGAAGTTTGTGCTCGTATCTGATTAGTAATTGAGTACAAGTGCGTGATCAATAATAAATACCTGTTACGAATGAACCTATTTAAGGACAGGTATAAATTCGTTAATAATTAATTGTAAATAAATAAATGACATTGCATGAGAATCCTTAGCACCGAATGTATTTTCTTTTAATTTTATTTATTTGCCTTTATTTTTGAGTTGGCGGCGATTTAGCCAAGGCTGCTCTACCAACGCAACCCACTATGCATTTACAAATATCCATGCCCGAACCCAGATCCGAACCAGGGACCCTTAACACCACAGTCCAGTTTCAACTCAACTGCGCCACACGGGCCGGCTAACCTACAAACCCTGGTCTAAATAATGCTTTGGCCGCCTTTGTAGAACAGACTGTTCTGCTGTCATTTCGTTCCAAAGGTCCCTGCCCAAGAAAATAAAGCACAGAGTTGCTATTTCAAATATATAAGCCAAACCCAACTTCAATTGCGATGAAACTTTGGGGAATTGTTGGACTTAAAGCAATTCAGCAAAGAGATCTGCAATCAACTTCAAAAGATTGTTGTACGACTTCAATGTATCCAAACTAAGGCCACGCCTATAATTAAATGTGTGATAATTTAACTCAGAGACTTCCTAATTTGCAATTACATGTCAACAACATTTATGTCCTTGTATTCGACAGATAATTAAAAATTTAACTGGCTATTACCTTCCAAGTGCGTATCCCAGGTTCTTTACACGTGGACATTCTCATGCATTTCTGTTATAAAGGTGAAGTTAATTAGTGGCTGCTTAGTTACTCACAGGTTTTTAACTTCGTAACAATGGGATTTGGATTAGTAGACCATATTATATTGCATGGATCGATTGCCGTCTCTTTGGGCATCGGGATATACTTTGGGTTTTGGAAAAAGTCCCGTACCGCCAATGAGTATCTATTGGGCAATCAAAAGATGAATGTGATACCGGTAGCTATGTCGATAATTGCGAGGTGAATAAAAGTGATAATTTCCTTTATTTCATTTTGGCTTTGTTTCAGTTGCGTGTCGGGTGTCACCTTTCTAGGAAATAGTGCCGATGTTTACGCGTATGGGGCAAATATGCTATGGTCTGGTATATCTTGCATATTGGCAAATGTTATTGGAGGTTTCTTGTTTGTCCCAGTGTTAATAAGGTGTAGAGCTGCAAATGTTTTTGAATATTTCGAGTTAAGATTTGACAAAAAAGTTAAGATAGTGGCCTCCTGCGCGTATACATTGTACGCTTTACTTTACAGCGCAATTTTGGCTTACGTTCCAGCCATAGCGCTTGCTCAGGGTATGTTTTTTGCAAAACCTATGCCAATTATATTTGATTTTTAGCAACCGATATCCATCCCCAAATTGTTACTTCTATTGTATGCACCTTGTGCGTCTTTTACACGACTGTTGGGGGATTCAGAGCGGTAATATGGACGGATGTGTTTCAATTGATTGGTATAACCATATGTGTCGTTTTCATACTCGTGCTGGGAATAAAGTCGATAGGCAGCATAGGTGGGATTATAGAAATGGCGGTCGATGGCCAACGATTGGATTTTAAGTACCGTTTCGTATCCAGAATTTGAAATTTAATCTGTGCTCCAAGTTACAGCCTCGATCCAACGATAAGAGATGGATTTTGGCAGGCGGTACTAGGCGGTATGGTTCTTTGGATGTTCGTCGCAGCATTCCATCCCGGAACCGTGCAAAGATATCTATCTGTCTCCGAGTTTAAAAATGTCGTAAGGCAGGTTAATGAAAACACATGTTTATATTCTTCATAAGTCACCTATTTTTAGGGTAATGGCTCTCCAGTGTTTCGGAATGGTGGCAGTAAACGCCTTCTGCGCTTTTATTGGCGTTATATTATATGCAAGGTATATGAACTGTGATCCGGTAATGGCGGGTGACGTGCGACGATACGATCAAATTCTTCCTTTTTTTATCATGGAAATCGGCAAAAAAGTTCCAGGATTGTCGGGTATTTTTATTGCCGGTATTTTTAGTGCAACTTTAAGGTTGGGTACCATCATAGTTGATCAATTTCATTTCGATAGTTATTTTGTAGTACACTATCTTCATCATTCAATACGTTATCTGCTACCATTTATGGGGACTTAATAGCACCGTGTATATCACGAGAAGCACTAAAGGGCAAAGAATGTTGGATCTTAAGGCTGATAGTTGTAATAACGGGTGGTCTTTGCACATGTTTAACTTTTCTGGTTGAATACATGGGAGGAATATTGCCGTTTGTGACGGCCGTTGTTGGCTTGGTGTATGGAGTACTGACCGGATTGTTCATCCTTGGCCTTACCTTTAGGAGGGCAAATGCAAAAGTAAGTGCATACTGTAAAACTGTCTTGCTAAGTAGAGGTATGTCGCAGGGTGCCTTTTATGGAAGTGTTACAAGCTTTATCGTCATTGGTACCATAGCTGCTATAGGCCAATGGTATTCTATTCAAGGTGCTGGAGTTGATTTCAGAAAACCAATGTCAGTGGCAGATTGCCCGGTTCCTGTCAACATCACAATAGTACCCACGTATGTTCCAAAGATGATTTTAATATTACATTGATACAACGTTTAGGGCACACGCGGAGTATACACCCTTCAAACCATTTGTACTATTTCGAATTTCCTTCTGGTACAACTCGGTTATGTGTACGCTAATGGTGATCATTGTTGGCATGTTGGTTAGCTGTTTAACTAAAACCGAAAGCGTAGATCCTACCCTTCTGAGTCACATTGGCCGTAAAGGCGTCAGTAAAGGAAAACTACCGACTATAGAAACGTACGCGGTTGGAGTGAAGGACGAGAGTGGACATACCTACAACTTCCAGCGGAATGTTTGTTAAACTATTGCGACTGATTGTTTTTTTAAGGATACTGGGGTATACTGATCAGATGCTACTCCTTTTATGTATCCTTGCAGCAAGAATTCCACAGACAAGTTATATACAAAAATAACTCCACCGCCAAAAAAGTGACGATTAACATCCGTCTCTTTCATGTAAAACAATTTCCGTTCTTTTCATCTTTCCGAACACTCTCCTCCTTCCTGTCTAAATGACTTCGTCATCGAATAACTACCGGTCGCGTTTACGTCGGCGAAAAAACATCTGCTCATTGAAACTCAATTAGCTTACGCAGCGATAACGAAACTTCATATCGCAACGACCGGATTTACAAGAGGCAACTTTAACAAAACATTGACCCAATTAATTCCAGATGTTCCTTAACTTACCAACTGAACAATAAAATAAACAAATTAAAAGGTGATTATTTGAACAAAAATGAAACATCCAATAATTTAAATACAACATCAAATAAAAGAAATTCGCATACAGAGAGTGACCCATCATGGTTATAGGTGCCAAACAAAACTTCCGCGTGAAGTAGTTTACGCGGTAATAATTATTCGTTATTTTTTGTTATTATTGGTAGAAGCGCTTCATTTGTTTCATTTATATTTTTTCGTTACCATTAATATAATGTACCGTGTACCCTGTTCCACTTGTCTGTGAAACTTATAATACCACAAACAGAATCAGTCTAACTTTTTTTCTGAGATACAGGGTAAAAGTTTGACCTTTTGGTATGTTATCACATCTTACCACCCACGTAAAGTATCTTCACGTGTTTCTTTTTGGACCACGTTTCTGAGATTTGACTCAATTTTGGTATTTTTTAAGTGCAACGCCCTGTATATCGGATTCTTTTTCCTAATTATATTGATGTATGACTGAGTACGGTTTTTTTTTCAAATTCTAGCCATGAACCAGAAATAGAAACCTTATTTACTACGGTTTTTAAATAATAGGCCAAGGTTTCACGGAGCTTTTGTTTTGTTTATTGTATCCATGGTAACAAAGGCTGACGGTAGAAATGTACCATTTCAAAAATTTGAAAAATGTGATATAACGTACTATTTAGTACCTCAATATAATAACAAAAAAGAATGCAAAAAATTGACGTTCAGATATACAGGGTGTAGATATAACATTCCAGAAAGCCAAACTTTTCGTTTTCACCCTGTACCTCAGAAACAACGTAGCTAGACTGATTCTGTTTGTGGTATTATAAGTTTTGCAAAAAGAAAGTGGCATAGGGTCTCGAAAACCGCAAGCCTCTATCCTTAAAAACAGCTGAGATACACTGCAGTCCCAACCAACATAGGACACACGGTACAGTAATAGTTTTTACATTACAAGTGCAGAAAATGAGTGCTTGCGAATGTTTATTTGCAGACTGAGACGAAGTCGAGGCGACCTGCAATATGAAAACTCGCAAAACATTTTTATGGACGTGTGAAACACCACATTTGTTGTGTTGAAGTGCTTAAAAATGAAATTTTTTGTATTCATACCCTTAAAACTCCAACTGGAAGCTCTAATATTATACTTCCAAATCTTACCAGGTATAGAACACCCGAATTTCAGAGAAGATTCCAAGAAGAGCACAACAGCTGTTGTATCTAAAAAGTTGTAAATCGGTGTTAAAAGTCGAAAGAAACTTGAAACTTTCATAACCTAAAAATTTCATTATGAGACTACTAGCACAGCTACTAGGTATTGGCACCACTCTATAGATGTTTTGGACTGAACAGATATCTACAATGTTTCTATTTGTCATATTATATCATTTTTTGGTGGCCGCACTATTGTCAGTGTGAAGGCATTAGTTAGAAGATCGTGTATTATGAACGTATCCTCGTTATAACATTATGTAAATAAAAACTGTAAATATCCTATAGGCTATCCAAAAATTCAGATAGGGAGCTAACCTCCCTATGTGAAATTCATTGGACCGGTAGTCGAGGGGTTAGTTGATACATTCCTTAAGCTAAAGCAAGAATCCCCAGGATGGTCTAGTCACGAGCACGACAGATGCGAAAAAAACGAAATATACTAACGACTATTTTGCCCGAAAAGGAATTCAGCCCGATTTTTCTAAAAAAAATCCAGGTTTAAGATCTCTTTTGGGGTAAGTTCGCTCAGAATGAGAATTTAGTCCACTGCAGTATTCTGAGACAAGGCACTGGAGTACATGAGGTGTTAAAATGATAGGACACTAAACTGAAACATGTTTTAGCACTTTTACTGAGATATCAGAAGTGTGAAGCAAATGTACTTTTGTTGAAAGATGCCTCAGTCAATCATAGCAGGTATATAAAGAAGCTTATGAAGCCGAATTTGCTGTATGATAGCAATGTCAACTAAAAATGTAAACTTTCAATCGGTGAAAGGGTGCAAATTCACTTTCGTAACAAAAGACTCGAACAAACAAAAGCTTTAATACGGTTAAATCATCCTTCTCCAAAAAGTTATACTTTAACCCCGTTTGCTTTTAAATCGATTAACCTACTTGAAAACACCGTTTTATAAGCGTCACTACACGGATCATTGTCGCGCGAGGGGCGGTCGAAAAATTTCCTCGTTTTTCATCGACACGACGCCACGTAATATTTTCTACTCCATAATAAACGGCGCATTATACTTTTGTGAATGCACTCTCTCGCAAGCTCAGCAGATGTGCGCTCGTAACTTTCCTTTGAAGAAGTTCATTTGACACAAAGCATATATTTTTATGATAACGAATGTTTCAACAACTCATTCTTCTTCGTGCCCCCCATATAGTAGTTAATCCGGGTAAAATATTTTTTGTCGTATCCAACTAACTTTTTACAACTGCAGAAATGGTCTTGATACATACAGAACCTTTTAAAGTGTAATGGTAAAACCATTGCAGATTCATCAATTTAATTAAAGGTGCTGTAGTTACATTACCGTTACTCAAGGACCGTTACTATAGAAAAGTAAGGTTCCTAAAGTAACTTAAATTAACACTCCCCAAGTGCTTATTTTTCTAATTTAAGTTCCTGAGAACTAACACAACCAACGTGGCGGGGGGCGTTGATACAAAGCTCATTAAAACACTGTAAGAGACCAGACCAGGAAACGCCTTCACGTCTATTAATAAATGTACGATTTATTATGAGATCTTGAAGCAAATGCCACCGAAATACTCGCTGTCAGAAAATTTACCCTCCGCATTGGGGTAGTGACCCATAAGGAAGACTCCCCAGATAATACACATCTTGAAACATCCGTCTACCAAGGAAAAACCAGCCAAGGGTTTTTTCCTTCCTCCCCATTCAACGAGCATATTATGTTCCGTTATAATTTCTGCTCAAAATACGCGGCAATTTAAACCGAATCGGGCGAACGGAGAGGAATTGCGTATTACCCATTGCGTGCATAAATTATTATAAAGTTGCTACTATTATTTCAAGGAGGAAATTGTTTACTTAAACTTTATTATTTTATTACTGCGCAAACAAAACATGAGTACCTACTTCCGAAAACGTGTTACGTTTTGGAATTTATTTCTCCCCTTATTGCGTAAAACGTAAAGTTTGAAATAATAAATCACGACTGCTTTAGAAATTAATAACGGCGGTACACATAAAGATTGGACAGAAGGTTAAATATTTCTCCGTATGTAACTGTTGGTTTTCAGCTCGAACCACAATATAGGTAAGTAAGTGTGTGACTATTGATCGAGAGTACAAAGCACCGAGAGGTGCTTTCATGCCCTTCATTGTGCAGAAGATGAATAAAGTTCATCATTTAAGGGAATGTGCGACCGCAAGATTTTGTCTCTAACCAAACCTTGTTTTCATTCTTCGTGATTGGTTTTATTAATGTAAACTGATATTTAACTATACTCTCCAAGATTGTTTCTATCACTTCATCTCTAAGTCACCTTTGAAAACCGCAAGTTCCATGAGATGGCGTTGGCATAATTAATTGGTGTTAATACAAGTGAGTTCAGTGAGAGAAGCCTTTGGACGAACAGAACAGTACTTTCGGTAGTCGGTAATGCGGCACGGTTAATCTCGAGCGCCACTAGAAGTTGTTACCCTTTGCTCTCCTTTATAATCATCAGAAACACAAGTATATACTAAAAACCTACCTTAAAAATCAAACTGTACGGTAGTAATTACGACAAGAAATCGCTGAATACAACAAACACAATGTTCAAAGATTCTAAACGCTCTCGCCTTATATAACATTCGACAATTTCGGGAAGGAAAACTTGGATTTTCTAGTCATCACGATCACGACGAACTCGTACAAACTGCTCGAAAATTAAAACGTTCTGGGCACCTGGCCCAAACATCAAGATGACGTTTTCTGCAACACGTCTAATTAATTAAACTTACGTAATTGGCCGGGTTAAAATTCCAGGAACACCCGTTGTTTTTTGCAATTTTCGGGTCAATGGCAAATGGCGATATCTTCACACATTTCCGCGTCCTTGAAATTTCATCCTGGTTTCCACTTAACATTGCAAACATAAAGTCGGCGAGTAATTAATAAACGAAACTAAAGTCATAAAATACGAAATAAAATATTAATTTTTCCTCATCTTGCAAATTACGAGAGCTAATTCGATGCTGCAAGAATAATTAAAATATCACTACGGGAACGGTTACAAAACTGGTCAACTATAATTACGGTATGAGCGGTTAAAAAAATTAAAGTAACTAATTCTACACTCTACTTCCGCCTCCTGGACCACTCGTGGACCATTGGACGGAACGGAACCGCAATCGTGGTGGACTTGGAAGCGACTGGAGAGGTAGAAGTTCTGTCATCTCAAAGGAGTGAAGGTAGTAAGGGATTTGAGCATACCTTACCAATGCATCTATATCAAGACACTGCTGGATCCTTGGCCACATTTGCAAAAAGTGAATTTTTCTGAGAGGGTGAGTGATCCACAAATTCTGATAGGGCAAGATAATATTCATCTCATCCTCATCATTCCAAGAGAATGTATTGGGCCTCCAATAAAATTCGTGGGTATCAAAGTGTAAAGTTATGATGGGCAGTTCATGGTTCAAACTCTAGCGAGTAAGAGGGATGTTGTGAAAGTTCATGAGAACAGAGGCATTTGGAGTGAGTGTCGTGATCAAAGAAAGACAATCGTGCAGAGCAGATCATGGAGCTAACCACGAGGAAAGTTGACTCGGGACGTTGGGAAACAGGTTTTCTCTGGCATGATGAAAAGGCATAGAACAAGGTTTGAGAAGTCTCAATCTTCTGGAGAAAAGCTTCGCGAAAAACCAGGTGTTTGCTAAGCCAGGATGACTCACAATGAACAAATGGAATATGTTCAAAAAGTTGATATGGACAAACTCAAAATGGATTCGGGCAAGATATTGTATTTGCCCCACTTAGGAGTCTTCAATCCCAAAAAGTCAAATAAAATCAAGTAGTTTTGGATGCGTATATAAAGAACAATGAAGCGAGTCTCAAGGGCCATCTTCTCACAGGCACTGATTTGCTGGACTCCCTTCCAGGTATTTTGATGAAGCTCGGGGAGATATCAAAGAGGTTTTCGACCAAATCCTCATTGGAGACGAAGGCGAAGATGCGCGAGGGTTCTTATGGACGAAAGACAAATCTCAGCCTGTAGAGGAATGGAAGGGGGTGATATTTGGAGCCACCAGTTCACCATCTTCCGCACTTTACGTCCAACACAGAAATGCAGAAGAATTTGAGAAGAATCACTCGAGAGTGGTAAACCCACTAAATGGACGATTA